TTTTTTAAACCACAAAATTATGACACAAAGTACAGTACGAAGAGAGAAAACGCTAACCTTGTTCGATGCAACTTCTGGCGTGTAGGACAGGAAGGTGGGCGGGGAGGTGGTTATTGCTTGGAGGGAGAGTCCCCCTCCCTACAGGAAGCCATGACCACGTGTCATGGGAGGGAAAATGGCCGCGGATCCTGTTCATCATCCGATCCGGCGTTCGCGAACGGAAGCAAAATTTTGAGAACGGAGCTGTTCGTGACCCGAATTGGTCATGAACTGAAGCGTTCGTGACCTGAGGTACCACTGTATTTATTGGATATACAAAAGAAATCTGCTAAAGTTCTGAAAGATTTTTGGCTTGAAACACAGGTGAACAGAAAACTAGCTTTGGGATTCTTTTTGAAGGGGTTAAAAAAGATCTTTTAAAAAACTCAGAGGAGGAATACAAGGTTGGCTTATTCAACCAGGGCTAAAGGAGAAAAACAGTTACATTTGGTTGCCCTTACTGGGCATTTGCTGATAAAGAATGACTGACAACGCATTTGGAGTTGGGTTTTTTGTTTTTTATTCAATAGTTGAGATATGGGGTGAAGAGAGATTATGTTGTATTTAAAGATAGTGATAAACTATTAAGATTATCTTTACTTGCTGGGATGAAGGGGGAAGTTACTTTTTTTTCCTTCTCCTTTTCCTCTTTCAATGTTCCTTTTTTCCCCCACACTTTTTTCCTTTCTTTTGTATTTTTCTATTTGTATTTTTGTAACCTGTAGTGGCTTTTATTCTTTTCATTTATAATTCTTAATAAAATTATTTGGGGGAAAAAAAAAGACACCAGCCGGTTTCATTTGTATATCCAGTATATCATCTTTTTCCAGATCATTCTTGTAGCCTGTCATTTTAAAATTTATGTTCAAATAAATTTCAGTCTTTTCCAGTAGAACTTGTTCCTCTTCCATAATGTTATTTACACACAGTCGTATAATGGCAGACATTCTTAAAATTAACTTCTGAATCCATTGTTCACAAATATTCTTCAATACATTCAATGTTAAAGTACTTTGCTCCATTCTGTGTTAGCAAGTTGAGTTTAATTGTACTTCTCCTTTAATTGTAATCTTTAGTTCTTTCTGGTTCCCTTTAGTGTCCAACCTTCAAATCCCATCCTATCATGTTTTTTTTCAGACTTCAGAACAACAGCCGGGAAGGATTCTTATAATTAATTTCAAAATCTTATTTCCAATTCATCTGGACCCTAAGTCCATTTATAACTTTCTAAAAACAACACTCTAATCACCCTTTTGCCATTTATTACCCCCAAAAAGAATTTTTCTAGGTCCTTAAACTTATACTTAAAACTTCTTTCACTAAGGATTGAAGGAAACTCACCCAGTGAATGCCATAAAACTTGCTGTTCCAAAGGTTTTTATTGAAAAGCAATACAAAAAAATAATTCCAAAAGTGATTAGGAAATGAGGCTCAGCCAAGCTTTATGTCCATATAGGCTATGTTATGACCATGAACTTAGCTGGGATCCTTTGACTTCCAGCTGCTCAACTCCCCTTTGGTTCCTGCAGTCTACTCATGAGGAGCAGCTGTCTGGAGTACATGTGGGTGATCTCACAATCTCTCCTTTCTTCAGAGAGATTTCTCCAGCCAGGATCCACCTCCAGCTGCCAATCTCTGCAGTAATGCCGTCCTCACTCTTTTAGGGATGTCTAGCTTGCCATGTCCTCACCAGAAGTCTCAGAACACAATAAATTCTTGACTGTTTTCCTTTTGTCCTTTTAGGATTATGAGAGTAAATTAGAGGCTTTACAGAAGCAAATGGATTCAAGATACTATGCTGAAGCTAATGAGGAAGAGGAGGAACCTGAGGATGAAGGTGAGCTTCTAGGAAATAAATAAGCTGCTGTAGGCAGCTTCTCATGCAGCAATATTGTATTCAACAGAAGAGAATATATGTAGCTCAGGATTGGACTGTGGAGTCTTTGGTGCTCTCTGAGCTTGGTTGTTTGCTTGCAGATGTTTCATTACCCAACTAGGTAATATCATCAGTGTTGACAACAAAAAATTAAGAGAAACAAAAAGACCAGGACACATCCTCTCCATCAGCCAACACCTAGATAAGCAGGGATTAACACCAGACAAACAATCAAGCATGAAACAATACCCTAATCAAGGAACTACCAAGGAGAGCCCCCCACTGCCACCACCAGCAGGGCAAGCTACTGAATATAAACAGAGAGCAAACTCCACACTCACTGGCACTGCTGATGTTACCTAGTTGGGTGATGAAATGTCTGCAACCAAACAACCAAGCTCAGATAGCACCAAGGACTCCACAATATTGTATTCAGCTACAGATGCCCCAGTGAATGGATAGGTAGCCTTTGGTACTCTTCAGAGAAGCAACAGAGAGGAAATGTCTAGCCTCTGTTTCATTAGAAAATTATCCCTAGACTTATTTGCTAACCTCAACCATGTACTGGAATGGGAACAATATTATTTATGTATCACTGTGGCTCAAGAGTCATTATTTAGCATTCTTACAATCTTAGCAAGTTTTTGGTTCAAATTACAGAAGGAACCTTATCTTTCCAGCTTTGATGATGGTTAGACATACTGGGGCTTTATTGGATAGAAAATTTATACTTAATTTTTCCTCTTATAAGAAATTGACACTTCAGACCAATATAACTTACCTAGAAAAGCTAAGTACATAAAGTTGAAACACTTGTTATGCTTTGGCCTTGAGACTATTGCACTCCAAAGGCATTGTGTTAGAGAAAGCTTTCACTGAAACTACACCAACAATTCATTATTACCAAACATTTAAAAAAAATCAATTTGGACAAAATACAAGAAATTTGGAATGTTGAATGGGCATATTTTATATTATCCAACCAATGACTTCATGTTTTAAGGAAAATTAGCTATATTTCTTATGACCTAAAACTCATTTAATTTAGCGAAGCATAATCTTTAGGGTTTATTGAACCCCTCAAAGAATGTTTAGAAAGTTTGGCTCTCATTCTTTCTATGCCAGAGATGAAATACATTTGAAGGAACTCAGGTACATATGTTATGGATGTCCTGATTGGTTAGATATTATCAGTTTGGTGAACCAGATTCTTGGAAGACAGTTAAGGGTTAAATATGCTAATATGAATATTAAGGGTTAAAAATCTGGAATTTTTTCATTCATGAAGAATTTTGGTTATATTGACCTTGGAGTGTTGTGAAAAATGCGATTATCTACTAATGGGAAAATGCTTGAAACACAGACACTAGAAATTGGCTTAACCAAATTTGTCAACTCTAACTCTTTGAATTGGCTTTGTACTGAATGAGAGGCAAAACTGGACAATATGATTAAGTATAGTCTAGGTTTAATTCATTGTTAAAAAATTGAATCATAAATATGAACTAGAAAAAAGTTATATAATTGTAAGAGAGAACAGTTTAAATAAGAATATCTATATCTATATTTAGAATTAGATGTAATTTCGATATGAATACAATAGTAATAAAGTTATCTATCTATATATTGCTATTTAGTTTGTATGCAGTGTTACAAATTAATAACCAAAGTTTTTAAAGAAAAGTTAATTGTAATATTTTAAAAGTTTTTTTAGTGGAAAGAGCTCTACTTCATTAGAAAATTGACAAAGCAGTGAATAATTCACATAAATCTTGATTTAGAAGGGGGAATTTATGCCATCAAATCCAACTCAGTGCAGGAATCCAAACTGAAGTTCATAACAGACAACTCTTCAGCCTCTGTCTGAACACCTCCAACAAATAGAGCCTAACCATCATTGCCATTTCCTAAGTATTATTCATTTTGTGCTGTGGTGTCTTAAGTGACAAATGTCTTCTGATTCTGCATACTTTTCCAAGGGAAGGGCTCCCCACAAGTATCACCTTGTCAAATTAATCTATAGAGATACATGTTTTATGTAATCTATAGAGTTACATGTTTTAGGTAATCTCATGAGAGGGATCAGGGAATATAGGTAAGGCCTTGTGCTTTGAAGTGGTTGACCCTGTAGCGGTGTTTTGTTTTGTTTATCTCATCAGTTCAATGGACAGAGCGGGAGTTTGAACTAGCACTCTGGGCCTTTAGGAAGTGGAAATGGTATCAATTTACATCTCTTCGAGATCTACTGTGGGGCAATGCCATTTTCTTGAAAGAGGCCAATGCGATCAGTGTGGAACTGAAGAAAAAGGTGAACAGTTCTTGGCTTAGAAAATAAATATGACCTTCCTTCCTTCCTTCCTTCCTTCCTTCCTTCCTTCCTTCCTTCCTTCCTTCCT